GGCGATCAGTGTATCGTGCTGTTGTCCGGACGCAGCCGGCGTCCGGACTCCGGATGCATTAATTTCTCGTGGAATACAGATTTGAATTCCTCACCTGCTCGGTTGGCGACAAGAATGTAAATCCATTGCGATATTCTACGGGGATTGTATCATCGTCAACATCAAAGACACTGAAGATGAGCATTATGAGAAACAAAAATTAGTACATAATAACTAGAATAGAATCAACGTGCTTTGACAAAATAATCCCAAACTATGTAAAAGATCAATTAGTCCCAGACTATTTAAATGGGACTAAACTAGTTCCCAGAATCATTAAATGAAGACTACTTTAATTTTTATTTAAATAGTTTGAGGGCTAAATTGGTCCTTTACATAATCTTTACCACCCAATTCCTAGTTATTTATACATATCTAACACCTAAACTTTACTTTTAACATGCATACCACCAAATCTTGCATATTACATATAAAATAAAATCATTATAACTTTTAATACAGAGGTAAGATGTTATGCATGTAAAAATCGAAATCTAGGTGTTAGATATATAAATACATAGGAATTGAGCGGTACGTATGTAAATCTTCCTTCAAAAATTGGTAAGGCTTCAGTAATGACCCAGCCATGACTAACCTATCGTTAAGTCCGCCGGTTCTTCTCACAATAGGCACAGAGCCATATCTCATAGCTATCATCTGCCAACAGCAAAGAAACAAGCAGTTTAGAATTAAAATGAATTGGCTTTATACATTCTCCCTTGAATTCCAGGCACCTTCTAAGAAAAGTTTAAGAGCAGAAAAAAAAATTAGCAAAGAATGGAATTCCCAATGTTTTACCCAAAAAAAATTGTTTCAAGAGCAAACTTAACCCTTTAGGGAGGCAAATATTGTTAAATTTGGTCAAATTAACTTTAACCGGCTGCTCAACATGTGAGAATATTACCTGTGTGAGTCCACAAGGCTCGAACAGTGACGGTATAACGAACATGTCAGATGCTGCATATATCATGTGTGAAAGAGCATCATCATATTTTAGTAGCAACCGAACATTAGGATGATTGCTAAAATGGCTTGCTATACCCTCAAACTCCCTCTGTAATAAAAAATAGTGGTCAGGGATTTTATGTGATAAAAAAAAATAATTAGAGTTAATATGCAAATAAGTGCGCCAATCCTTCACCAGAATTGGGTGAGGAGGTAACTTTAAAAGTGACAAAGAAACTAAAGAAAAATGGATATCAAACTTATAGATTTTTCAATTCTCTACAAATGATAGTAAATTTGATTGCTCATAAAAAAATAAAAAAATAAAAATAAAAATCCATGACCTGGACTCCTTTTTTGTGAATTTTACGCTCATTTAGGGTTTAAATGCATCATAAATTAAAGCTTATAATCGACAAGAAGCTGCTGAAGACAATGGCTAATTTCTTGTCCAAAACTAGCGAGTCTCAGGTATAGTCTTTCTCCTAACCAACCAGATCATTAGAGTTGTGATGCAGTACAAGCCACTAATTCATTTAAATAAGCTCTCAAAATTCCAGTCGGATAATTAGGAGACGTCCAATTAAGGCAAATTAATCAAAATTGTTTTCAAGTTCTTTAGGCTAACTTTTATTTTTCACATATTTTATTTTATTTATTTTATTGATTTTAGTATGTTTAATATCCTCTTTGTACATGACCCATATTGTGAGCCACCAATTACCTGCTCACCACTTCACCCAGTTTGCACCTCGCTTCCAACTATCCCATTGAATCCATCCAAACGTTGGACCAAGTTCACAGTTCTCTTTCACGACGCCACAAGACAATACAAAAAGTAAAACAACCACAAAGAGCTTTTAGAGAACAATCGGTAAAACTTTTTTAGATTTTTTTTTTTCTAATATATGCTTCCATCAATTGCTTGATCTACAACTGAGGGTCAAGCTTTTTGACCGATAAAAAAAATAGGAAAATCTTCTACAAATAAGAAGATCTCAACTTTCTGAAGTTTGAACCTATTACAAGAAGGAATAAGCTTTTATTGAAACTTGCGAGGTTAGCCAATATCCACTAAAAAATAGCCTAGCTATATTCCTATACATTATTCTACATGGTAAAAATTTATATGCAAACAAATTGAGCAGCAACAACAATAACAACAACAAAGCTTTATACCACTGAGCGGGGTGGGCCACATGAATCATTCTTCTGCATTGTGTCTTATTGAGTGTTATAATTTTATTTAATTCTAATTAATTTAAGATCATTTTTAATAAAACATGCCAAGGCCTTTTTAGGTCTAACTCTACATTTCTTAAAAAAAGCCGGATCTAAAACACCTACTCTCTTGACTAGATCATCAGATGGTCGATAATTTATGTGACCAAACCATATAAGATGACTCTCTGTATTCTTTTCTTCAACTGGTGTTACACTAGCACTTTCATGAATATATTTATTTTGCATTTTATTTCTAAGTGTAAAGCCACTCATTCACCTAAGTATTCTCATCACAGTAACACTTAACTTACTGCCATGCTTCTTTTTTATAGGCCAATATTTTGTGCCATAAAGCATTGCAGGTTTCGCCGCCATCTTATAAAACTTTCTTTTAAGCCTAAGCGGCACATTTTTATCACACAATAGGCTTGATGCATTCCTCCACTTCGACCATCCAATTTGATTTCTACTAAAAACAACCCCCTCTGTATCACCATTACTGACCTGAGATATATAAAATGTTCACTTCTTTTATTAAATTGATCACCCATTGTTACAACCTCACCACTACAACTACTACTGCTAAAATTACATTCCATATATTCACTTTTAGATCTACTCAAACAAAAGCCTTTAAAATTTAAAGATGACCTCCGTAAGTCAAGTTTTCCATAACTCTTTCTCTAATCTTATCCACAAGAAGGATATCAACAGCGAAAAACAAAAACCAAAGTACATCCTCATGTAAAAAAGATATAGGCTTAAAGATGATCCCTGATGTAATTCAACTGAAATAGGAAAATATTTGGTCAAAAATTCCTATTTCAGTTGAATTACATCAGGAATGGCTTTAAGCCCATGTCTTTTTTCTTTAGTTATGGATGCTCTTACTGGACATTTACAAGAGGATGTACCTTGGTATATGTTTTTTGATGATGACATCCTTCTCGTGGAACAGACTAGAGAAAAAAGTTGAGGAAAAACTTGAATTATGAAGGTCTACATTGAAATCTAAAAGCCTTCGTTTGAGTAGAACTAAAACTTAATACATGAAATGTAATTTTAATAGTAGTAGCTCTAGTGGCAGAGTTGTAATTATGAGAAATCAAATCATTAAAAGGTGTATACTTTTTAGATACCATGGTTCCATTATTCAGAGTGATGGTGATATAGATGGGGATGCTATTAGTAGAATTCAAGTTGGTTGGTCGAAGCGGAGGAATGCTTCGGGCCTATTGTGTGATAGAAAAAGACCACTTAAACTGAAAAGAAAATTCTATAAGATGGTGGTGAGCTCTGCAATGCTCTATGGCGCATAATGTTGGCCTTTAGAAGAGAAGCATAAAACAAAGGTAAGTGTTGTTTAGGTGGATGAGTGGCTTCACATGTAGAGACAAAATGCAAAATGAATATATAATGATAGGTTGGGCGTAGCTTTAGTGGCAGACAAGATTAGAAAGAGTCGTCTTAGATGGTTTGGTCACATTAAATGTCAACCATCTGATAATCCGGTTAGGAGAGTAGAAGTTTTAGCTTAGACTAATGTTAAGAAAGACAGAAGCAGACCTAAAAAGACTTGGGACATATTGTATAAAAATGATCTTAAACTAGTAGAATTAAATGAAAATATAAACTCAATAGGACGCAATGAAGAGAAAAGATTCATGTAGCCGGCCTCACTTAGTGAGATAATGGCTTCTTGTTGTTGTTGTTTTTGTATCCTTCTCCTTAAACACAATTAACAACTTTAATATATATATCTTTAATAACTTAAATATAAGTCATATCAACACCTTTCTTTCATAAAAATTTCAAAAAACTCTCTTAGATTATTATCATAAGCTCTTTCTAAATCAATACAAATCATATATAGATCCTCCTTACCCTCTCTGTGCTCTCCATCAAACCTCTCAATAAATGTATAGCTTTCACAGACTTCGTTTGAAGGAGCTTCGTCGTTCAGAGAAGCTCCTTTACTGTGATCTAAAATGTCGAAACTTAATGTTCTTGTGAAACAACTTCGGGAAACACTGTTTCATCAAACGAAAGCTTTTCCACGCGTTGGCGTTCACTACAATGTAATAGAACTTCACTGTCTTCTCAAACAAAGTCATAGTAGACTTGTCTGACATAAATCCAAACTATTTTTGAGAACATGTCACGTCTTAACCTATGTTTAATTACTCTCTCATAATTTAAATGTAGGACTCATTAACTTAATTCCACTATAATTTGCACTCTTGTGTAGACCCTTTATTCTTAAAAGTAGACCAATATATTATCAATCCACTCTTCAGGCATTTTCTTAATTTTTGAAATAATATTAAAAATTTTATCATGCCAACAAATTCCCGAATCTCCTAAATAATTTTATACTTCTACTGGGATATTATCAGGTCCTATTATTTTTCCACCCTGCATTTTTCTTTAAAATCTCCTTAACTTGCATTTTACTAATAAGACGATAAAAATAAAAGAATTTATTATTATTAACGATATTAATAACACTAAAGTTGATTGCATTTTAAAAATTTTCATTGAAAAATTTATCAAAATATTTCACCCACCTTTGTTTAGTATCCCTATAAAAAAAATAATTTTTGATTTTCATCATTAATACACTTTATTTGAACTAAATTTTTACTTTTATCATCTTTTTTTAGTTAGTATGTATGTGTATATATATATATATATATTGAAAGCCCAAAAAGGCTAACATTTTAACTAGAAAGAAAGATACAGATACAATGTGATAGAGGGCCCAAACATGGCACCCTGCTCACAACAAAACCACAAGGGGTTCCACAACTAAAAAATACTAAAAAGTACATAAGAGACATAAAGAAAAAGCCTAAAAATGCAGAAATACATAATATCAGGTGGCTAGAGAGCAACTCAATTTGGTTTTGTCTCTGCCTCTGGTTCTGGGAAAGGAGCAAGCTAATAAGTTGGTAAGATGATTGTCATTGCCAGTAGTAACCAATGTATCATTCAATATGTTTTCGAGCTGGAGTCGGCCTCCATTCATCTTCTTCATCCTGGAATAGACCTGTCATTCCTCTTCCGAAGATTGACTCACTTGATCTTGGTCTAAAGTGTGCTAGGGATGTGCAGATTGTTGGACATTAGAAGCAACTACCTAATTGTACCGGCTGATCTATTATTGGATCAAAGGAGCACTCTCGTGTGTCTTAGCATGTGAGTGAGTCTTCAATAAAAATGGGTGGTATGGGCACAACTGGGTCTGTAGCTGTAGTATGTTGTTCTTCTTCAGGAACTGCGGTGTTGGGAAGAGGATCGGGTTGCATCTTCTCTACAGGGATAGTAGGTGGTTGTTCTTTAGCGATATTCGGCCTTAGATGAGGATGCAAACGATGACAAAAAGTAGAGCTGTGACCAAACATACTACAAGGAGAGTAATAAGGAGGATGTGGTTCCATTTCAACCTTTTGCTAATACCCGTTGTGCATAGTATCAATCCATATCTCATCCGAAGCTGGTTGAGTTATATCTCTCTCAACTAACACACAAGCCACGAATGATCTAGTGTTAGCAAACGTAGGACTATCCACCTTGAGAGGCTTACCGTAAGCATATGCTAAAGAGTAGAGGATTTTCATGTTGAACAGATGTAATTTTAACATCGAAAACTTTATCCAAACAGGAATGATAGAAGACTCCGCTTTTTTATCAAAACTGATGGTCTACTTCAAACTATTCATAAGACGATTGTCAATCTTGATAATCTTTTGAGAGAAAATGCGAGTGTAATCGACATCATGAGATAGCTGAATAAGAATATGTCTACCGTCAAGTAGTTCAATGTTCCAACTGCTCAATAGTTTCATAGTATCAAACTCCTTCCTAATGATCTCCACTTTTAGG